TCTCTCTCTGAGTCGTCCTCTCTCTGAGTCGTCCTCTCCCTCTGAGTCGTCCTCTCTCTCTGAGTCGTCCATTCTGTCTCTGAGTCGTCCTCTCTCTCTGAGTGGTCCTATCTCTCTGAGTCGTCCTCTCTCTCTCTGAGTCGTCCTCTCTCTTTGAGTCGTCCTCTGTCTCTGAGTCGTCCTCTCTCTCTGAGTCGTCCTCCCTCACTCTGAGTCGTCCTCTCTCTCTGAGTCGTCCTCTCTCTCTGAGTCGTCCACTCTGTCTCTGAGTCGTCCTCTCTCTCTGAGTCGTCCTCTCTCTCTCTGAGTCGTCCTCTCTCTCTGAGTCGTCCTCTGTCTCTCTGAGTCGTCCTCTCTCTCTGAGTCGTCCTCTCTCTCTCTGAGTCGTCCTCTGTCTCTGAGTAGTTCTCTCTCTGAGTCGTCCTCTCTCTGAGTCGTCCTCTCTCTCTGAGTCGTCCTCTCTCTCTGAGTCGTCCTCTCTCTCTGAGTCGTCCTCCCTCACTCTGAGTCGCCCTCTCTCTCTCTGAGTCGAACTCTCTCTGAGTCGTCCTCTCTCTGAGTCGTCCTCTCTCTGAGTCGTCCTCTCTCTCTGAGTCGTCCTCTGTCTCTGAGTCGTCCTCTCTCTCTGAGTCGTCCTCTCTATCTGAGTCGTCTTCCCTCACTCTGAGTCGTACTCTCTCTGAGTCGTCCTCCCTCTGAGTCGTCCTCTTTCTCTCTATGAGTCGTCCTCTCTCTCTGAGTCGTCCTCTCTCTCTCTCTGAGTCGTCCCCTCTCTCTGAGTCGTCCTCTCTCTGAGTCGTCCTCTCTCTCTCTGAGTCGTCCTCTCTCCCTCTGAGTCATCCTCTCTCCCTGAGTCGTCCTCACTCTCTCTGAGTCGTCCTCTCTCTGAGTCGTCCTCTCTCTCTGAGTCGTCCTCTCTCTATCTGAGTCGTTCTCTCTGAGTCGTCCTTTCTCTCTCTCTGAGTCGTCCTCTCTATCTCTCTGAGTCCTCCTCTATCTCTATGAGTCGTCCTCTCTGAGTCGTCCTCCCTCACTCTGAATCGTCCTCTCTCCCTATGAGTCGTCCTCTCTCTCTTGAGTCGTCCTCTCTCTCTCTGAGTCGTCCTCTCTCTGAGTCGTCCTCTCTCTCTGAGTCGTCCTCTCTCTCTCTGAGTCGTCCTCTCTCTCTGAGTCGTCCTCTCTCTCTGAGTCGTTCTCTCTCTGAGTCGTCCTCTCTCTCTGAGTCGTTCTCTCTCTGAGTCGTCCTCTCTCTCTGAGTCGTCCTCTCTCTCTGAGTGGTCCTCTCTCTGAGTCGTCCTCTCTCTCTGAGTCGTCCTCTCTCTCTGAGTCGTCCTTTCTCTCTCACTGAGTCGTCCTCTCTATCTCTCTGAGTCGTCCTCTCTATCTCTCTGAGTCGTCCTCTATCTCTATGAGTCGTTCTCTCTGAGTCGTCCTCTCTCTCTGAGTCGTCCACTCCCTGAGTCGTCCTCTCTCTCTGAGTCGTCCTCTCTCTCTCAGTCGTCCTCTCTCTCTCTCTCTCTGAGTCAATAAGCAACGCACACGCACAATGACAGGAGTGAAAAATAAATACAGGGTGATGGGGGGCGATCAGCAAGTCAATAAACCCATCACTAGAACGTGGTGATGGTCACGTGATCAGCAAAGTCATTAAACCCATCACTAGAACGTGGTGATGGTCACGTGATCAGCAAAGTCACTAACCCATCACTAGAACGTGGTGATGGTCACGTGGTCAGCAAAGTCAATAACCCATCACTAGAACGTGGTGATAGTCACGTGATGAGCAAAGACACTAACCCATTACTAGAACGTGGTGATGGTCACGTGATCAGCAAACTCACTAACCCATCACTAGAACGTGGTGATGGTCACGTGGTCAGCAAAGTCACTAACCCATCACTAGAACGTGGTGATGGTCACGTGATCAGCAAAGTAACTAGCCCATCACTAGAACGTGGTGATGGTCACGTGATCAGCAAAATCACTAACCCATCACTAGAACGTGGTGATGGTCACGTGATCAGTAAAGTCACTAACCCATCACGAGAACGTGATGATGGTCACGTGATCAGCAAAGTCACTAACCCATCACAAGAACGTGGTGATGGTCACGTGATCAGCAAAGTCAATAAACCCATCACTAGAACGTGGTGATGTCACGTGATCAGGAAAGTCACTAACCCATCACTAGAACGTGGTGATGGTCACGTGATCAACAAAGTCACTAACCCATCACTAGAACGTGGTGATGGTCACGTGATCACAAAGTCACTAACCCATCACTAGAACGTGGTGATGGTCACGTGATCAGCAAAGTCACTAACCCATCACTAGAACGTGGTGATGGTCACATGATCAACAAACTCACTAACCCATCACTACAACGTGGTGATGGTCACGTGATCAGCAAGTCACTAACCCATCACTAGAACGTGGTGATGGTCACGTGGTCAGCAAAGTCACTAACCCATCACCAGAACGTGATGATGGTCACGTGATCAGCAACGTCACTAACCCATCACTAGAACGTGGTGATGGTCACGTGATCAGCAAAATCACTAACCCATCACTAGAACGTGGTGATGGTCACGTGATCAGTAAAGTCACTAACCCATCACGAGAACGTGATGATGGTCACGTGATCAGCAAAGTCACTAACCCATCACAAGAACGTGGTGATGGTCACGTGATCAGCAAAGTCAATAAACCCATCACTAGAACGTGGTGATGTCACGTGATCAGCAAAGTCACTAACCCATCACTAGAACGTGGTGATGGTCACGTGATCAACAAAGTCACTAACCCATCACTAGAACGTGGTGATGGTCACGTGGTCAGCAAAGTCACTAACCCATCACTAGAACGTGGTGATGGTCACGTGATCAGCAAAGTCACTAACCCATCACTAGAACGTGGTGATGGTCACATGATCAACAAACTCACTAACCCATCACTACAACGTGGTGATGGTCACGTGATCAGCAAGTCACTAACCCATCACTAGAACGTGGTGATGGTCACGTGGTCAGCAAAGTCACTAACCCATCACCAGAACGTGATGATGGTCACGTGATCAGCAAAGTCACTAACCCATCACCAGAACGTGGTGATGGTCACGTGATCAACAAAGTCACTAACCCATCACGAGAACGTGGTGATGGTCACGTGATCAGCAAAATCACTAACCCATCACTAGAACGTGGTGATGGTCACGTGGTCAGCAAAGTCACTAACCCATCACTAGAACGTGGTGATGGTCACGTGATAAGCAAAATCACTAACCCATCACTAGAACGTGGTGATGGTCACGTGATCAACAAAGTCACTAACCCATCACGAGAACGTGGTGATGGTCACGTGATCAGCAAAATCACTAACCCATCACTAGAACGTGGTGATGGTCACGTGGTCAGCAAAGTCACTAACCCATCACTAGAACGTGGTGATGGTCACGTGGTCAGCAAAGTCACTAACCCATCACTAGAACGTGGTGATGGTCACGTGATCAACAAAGTCACTAACCCATCACTAGAACGTGATGATGGTCACGTGATCAGCAAAGTCACTAACCCATCAGTAGAACGTGGTGATGCTCACGTGATCAACAGTCACTAACCCATCACTAGAACGTGGTGATGGTCACGTGATCAACAAAGTCACTAACCCATCACTAGAACGTGGTGATGGTCACGCGATCAGCAAAGTCACTAACCCATCAATAGAACGTGGTGATGGTCACGTGATCAACAACGTCACTAACCCATCACTAGAACGTGGTGATGGTCACGTGGTCAGCAAAGTCACTAACCCATCACTAGAACGTGGTGATGGTCACGTGGTCAGCAAAGTTACTAAACCCATCAGTAGAACGTGGTGATGGTCACGTGGTCAGCAAAGTCACTAACCCATCACTAGAACGTGGTGATGGTCACGTGATCAGCAAGTCACTAACCCATCACTAGAACGTGGTGATGGTCACGTGGTCAGCAAAGTCACTAACCCATCACCAGAACGTGGTGATGGTCACGTGATCAACAAGTCACTAACCCATCACTAGAACGTAGTGATGGTCACGTGGTCAGCAAAGTCACTAACCCATCTCGAGAACGTGGTGATGGTCACGTGGTCAGCAAAGTCACAAACCCATCACTAGAACGTGGTGATGGTCACGTGATTAACAAAGTCACTAACCCATCACTAGAAACGTGGTGATGGTCACGTGATCAACAAAGTCACTAAACCCATCACTAGAACGTGGTGATGGTCACGTGATCAACAAGTCACTAACCCATCACTTGAACGTGGTGATGGTCACGTGGTCAACAAAGTCACTAACCCATCACTAGAATGTGGTGATGGTCACGTGGTCAGCAAAGTTACAAACCCATCACTAGAACGTGGTGATGGTCACGTGATCAACAAAGTCACTAACCCATCACCAGAACGTGGTGATGGTCACGTGATCAACAAAATCACTAACCCATCACTAGAACGTGGTGATGGTCACGTGGTCAGCAAAGTCACTAACCCATCACTAGAACGTGGCGATGGTCACGTGATCAGCAAGTCACTAACCCATCACTAGAACGTGGTGATGGTCACGTGATCAACAAAGTCACTAACCCATCACCAGAACGTGGTGATGGTCACGTGATCAGCAAAATCACTAACCCATCACTAGAACGTGGTGATGGTCACGTGGTCAGCAAAGTCACTAACCCATCACTAGAACGTGGTGATGGTCACGTGGTCAGCAAAGTCACTAACCCATCACTAGAACGTGGTGAGGGTCACATGATCAACAAATTCGCTAACCCATCACGCGGCCCGGGGGTTCACGCGGCCCGGGGGTGCACGCGGCCCGGGGGTTCACGCGGCCCGGGGGTTCACGCGGCCCGGGGGTTCACGCGGCCCGGGGGTTCACGCGGCCCGGGGGTTCACGCGGCCCGGGGGTTCACGCGGCCCGGGGGTTCACGTGCCCCACTCGTTCGCTCGCTCACCTCGGAGTCGCGATGAGCCAATGCGCTGAGCGTGGCGCGAGCCAGAGGCTTTAATGGACTGGGGAGGGAGCGAGGGAGGCGAGGGAGGGAGGGAGGGGAGGGAGGGAGGGATGGAGGGGAGGAGAGGGAGGGGAGGGAGCGAGGGAGGGAGGGGAAGGAGGGAGGGGAGGGAGGGAGCGAGGGAGCGAGGGAGGGGAGTTAGGGGAGGGTTGGAGGGAGCGACGGAGGGAGGGAGGGGCGGGAGGGGGGGAGGGGAGGGAGGGAGCGAGGGAGAGAGGGGTGGGAGTGAATGCGCCGTCATTAAAGCCACTTAGCACGCCCAGCCACTTCAGCACGCGCACAGAAGCAACGACAAAGGCCCCCCGTGTAGTCTCCCAAGATAGTTGGGGCAAGGGCTGTTGAATCAGACTCAAGTGGTGCCACGGGTTGACTGACTGAGATGGCTGGCAGATAGATGCACCACCTGTAACCCCCCTACTGTGCCAGGATCTACATCCTTCCCTACCGCATCAGCTGCATCTCTTCGATAGCCCGTGCCACTCACCCACCCACTCCCCAATCCACCCACCCACCAATCCACCCACTCACCAACTCACCCACTCTCCAACCCACCCACCCACTCACCCACCCACTCATCCACTCAACCAATAACTCACCTATCCACCAACCCTCCCACCCACTAACCCACCCACCCACTCACTCACCCACCCACCCACTCACCCACTCACTCACCCACCAACTCACTCACCCACTCACCCAATCACTCACTCACTCACCCACTCACTCACCCACCCACTCACCCAACCACCCACTCACCCACTCACTCACTCACCCACTCACTCACCCACCAACTCACTCACCCACTCACTCACCCAATCACTCACTCACTCACCCACTCACTCACTCACCCACCCACTCACCCAACCACCCACCCACCCACTCACCCACCAGTCCATATCGTCGCAAGCACACAGAGGCGCACACCAAGACAAAGGACCCCCGGATAACCGCTCCAGTGACTCCGCTACCACTCCCCACTCACTCACTAAGTGGCAGTGACGTCACCGCGGCGTTTGTGCCAGGCTATGTGCACCTTGAAGCCACGTGAAGTGTCGAACGCCCGCTGGCAGGAGGTCACGGGGCAGACCCAGGTGCCACAGATCGACTGACTGAGACGACTTGCTGATGCACCACCTGCGCCCCCTACTGTGCCAATTTTGCTGTGATTTAGCCACCCAGCGCTCCGCTCGTTGTTGTGAACGTCGCTCCTCCGCCCTCCGTTGTTGTTGGAAGGCGCCTGCCTCAAACTGCCCAGCAGCGTCCTTCACGAGCCTCCTCCACAGAGGCCGATCTTGACACCGCTGGTACCAGTCATCGGCAAGTCCACTCAGCTCCACATCCTCCTGTACCATGTCACTCCATCTCTTATCTAGCCCCCTCTATCCGGCCGAACAAAAGCTGTTTAGGCATGCGGTTGCTGGGCATGCGGGCTACATGACCCAGCGAACGCAGCCTTGCCTGCCGAAATAGATCACCAGTAGGACTTTGCCCAGATCTTTCAATGATTTGTGAGCTCCTCACACAATCCAGCCTGCTTAAAACCAGGATTGATCGTAGGCAAGCCAGCCTAAATGTTTCCAATCGGCGAAGATGCTCCATTAGGGGGGTCCGCGTTTCGCAAGCGTAGAGAAGGGAGGGAATGACCGTGGCCGAGAAGACCTGAAGCTTAGAGCGGAGCGACAAATCAGGTAGCATCCACACCGCATTACGCAACCGATGAAAAGATAATGCCGCTCGACTGATTCGGAGCGAGACCTCTGCTGTCAAACCGGAGCCAGTCATGAGCACACTGCCCAGGTATGGGAAACTCTCCACTCTCTCCACAACTTCCCCATCACCGATTGGGAGTTGTGGGTTTCCCGATGGTACAAAATACCCAGGCAGGTGCTTAGTTTTAGTGGGGCTGATGGTAAGGCCCCACCTCTTAGTGGCACGCTCCAGATTCAGCAGCAGCGCCTCCAACTCCTCTGAGTGGAAATTACCAGATCATCGGCATACCTAACATACTTGACCAATAGGGAGCCATCCCTTGACCGCACCTGGGCATCGATTAGCTTCCCATTGTATCTGTACCAGATGGAAATTCCTCTGGTACAGCCATCAAAGCCTTCACGGACTACGTGGTCGAAAAATATGTTAAATAATGCGGGAGCCAGAGGACATCCCTGTCGCACCCCAAGGTGAACAGGGAATGGCTCCGACTCCCTGCCACGTAGTGTTACCCGGGCCCGCTCACCATCATGAAGGTCCTTAATGATCGTGAGTAGAGGGTCAGGGACTCCGGAAGCACGAAGAACAACCCAGAGCCCTGGCCTACTGATGGTATCATAGGCCTTGACCAGGTCAATAAAGCAGAGATGTAGGTCTTGTTGGAATTCCCTACACCTCTGCTGTAGGAAACGGACAGAAAAGATGGCATCTGTGCAGGACCGCCCTTTCCTGAAACCGCATTGGGGCTCCGCAAGCCTCTCCTCAGCGTGCCTGGCAAGGCGATGCTGAATAATTCTTGCCAGGACCTTTCTCGGCACACTGAGGAGTGAGATGCCCCTGTAGTTGTTACAGTCTGTGCGGCCCCCCTTCTTAAAAAGGGGGACCACCAGGGCATCCTTCCAGTGCTGCGGAACCCGTCCAGTGGTCCAGACTATTGTTATGATGTCATGTATGGCAGTCTGTGCACAAACGCCACCCTCCGTCAGCATTTCGCCTGGGAGATTATATCTGCCCAGTGCATTTCCTGGTCTCAGACTCTGGATCGCCTTCAGTACTTCCTCAGATGGCACCTCAGCCAACCACTCACAGGGGGTGACTTCTTCCAATATTTGAGGCACCGCAGCCTCGGCAGGGTCATCCCCACTTTGTGCCACGTTGTTTTTCTGGCTGAGGGATTTCCCCTCCCCCAGGACCTCACAGAAATGCTCAGCAAATCTGCAAACCTGTTCCTGGAGGTCGGAGATTGGATCACCGTTTTTTCCCCTAATGATGGTAATAGGTGTGGCGCTGCAGGTTACTTTTTTAATGGAATTAAAGAGAGATTTGTGATCGCGGGCCACTGAGGCAGACTCCATCTCCTCAGCAACCCGCGACCACCACCCATTCTTGCAGGCCCTCACGGCTCTCCGAACCTCCAAGCAAAGGCTGTGGTAAGCCTCCTCATTCTCCGTGGGATGCTGTAGCCGATGAGAGTGGGCCTGTCGCTTTTTCTCAGCCAGCTTGAAAACCTCCTCTGTCAGCCAGGGTCTCTGGGAGGTCTGGACCGTGTACCCAAGCAGCCATTGCAGCTGTATAAGCCATAGTCCTAAACCTCGCCCATTTCCCCTCAACATCAGGAGGAGTGGGGGACGATGCCAACCTCAGTCGCAAGCGATGATGAAATTCTCGCTTGTAACTTTCATCAGATAACTGAGACCAGGCCACTTTAGGTTGGAATGGGGTCCTGGGTGTACACCCACCACCGGAGTGGAAAAATGGCAGGCGCATCTTACAGATGACTAGTCGATGGTCAGTGGGCAGATCAGCTCCACGGTAGGTCCTGGTGTCAAGGACATGGGCTCGCATCCGCTGGTCCGTCACTATGTAGTCCAGCAGATGTTCTTGCTTGGACCCGGCATGCATCCATGATGTTGTGTGGATGCGCCGATGCCGGAACAGCGTGTTGGTAATTACAAGCCCATGAGCTGCACAAAAATCTAGCAGCCTCGTACCGTTGTTATTGAGCTGATCTGGCCCATGCCCTCCAATCACTCCAGACCAGGTGCCAGCATCATGACCAACTCGGTCATTGAAGTCACCCAACAAGATAACTCTATCCCGAGGGGCCACTTTTAGCCAGCACCAGTGACAGGAGGTCACACACTACACACACACACTACACACACAGACACATACACTACACACACACACTACACACACAAACTACACAGACACACTACACACACAAACAACACAGACACACTACACACACACTACACACACACACCACACGCTACACAGACACACTATATATACACACACACACTACATACACACTACACACACAAAGACGCACTACACTACACGAACACACTACACTACACACACAGACACACTACACACACTACACACTCTACACACACACTACACACACACCGCACACACTATACACACACACCACACGCTACACACACACAGACACACTATATATATACACACACACACTACATACACACTACACACACACAGACGCATTACACTACACCCACACACTACACTACACACACACAGACACACTACACACACTACACTACACACTCTACACACACACTATACAGACACACTACACTACACACACTACACGCTACACACACACACCACGCTACACACACACTACATACACACTACACTACACACACACCACGCTACACTACACACACACTACATACACACTACACACAAACACCACGCTACACACACACAGACACACTACACTACATACACACTACAAAAACACTATACAGACACACTACACACACACACCACACACACTATACACACACACACAAACCACACGCTACACACACACAGACACACTATACACACACACTACACCCACACACTATTCTAGATTTGAAGCTTTCGTGACTGCAAGGATCCATACTCTTTGATTCTATTCGGTAAAGTCACGTAGGTAAAAAATAAAACAACAAAAATCACGACGTTTCGGCCACAACACAAGTCGCCTTCATCAGGTGAAGGGGACCGTACTGTCACGAGAACAGCGTTGGAGTGAAGACAGCCAAGCCCAGGTCGCGTCCTTTTAAGCTGTGTGGGAGGAAACAAAACGCTTTGACAAAGGAATTAGCATAAAATGACCGAAAAGCACAAGAGGACCGGCACGGAGGGGGAGGGAGGGTGTGTGAACACACCACGCTACACACACACTACATACACACTACACTACACACACAGAGACACACACCACGCTACACACACAGAGACACACACCACGCTACACACACACTACATACACACCACGCTACACACACACAGACACACACCACGCTA